GGAATTCCCAGGCTCTGGAATTCCCAGGCTCTGGAATTCCCAGTCTCTGGGGATCTCAGGATCTGGAATTCCCAGGCTCTGGAATTCCCAGGCTCCGGGCAGCCGGGATCCGGGTCCCCGGGCCTTGTGTCCCGGCTCCGGGTGGCACGCGGGGCTCGGAGCGGGAGCCCCGGCGCTGCCCCGGCCGGGATCCGTCAAAAAAGGCAAAGCAGCTCCGGCCGGGAGCGCCGCGCCCGCTCCGCCGGGATATTTTTAGCCCGGGAGTGTTTGTGGATAAAGCCCCGAATTAAGCGTTCCTTCAGGCGGCCCGGGCGGGGGGGCAGTACCGGGCAGGACGGGAGCCCCCCGGGAGGGTGGGAATACCACCGGGAGGTGGGAATACCACCGGGAGAACGGGAATACCCCCGGGAAGGACGGGAATACCACCGGGAGAACGGGAATACCACCGGGAGGGTGGGAATACCACCGGGGAGAACGGGAATACCGCTGGGGAGAACGGGAATACCCCCGGGGAGAACGGGAATACCACCGGGGAGAACGGGAATACCCCCGGGAGGGTGGAAATACCACCGGGAGGGTGGGAATACCACCGGGAGGGTGGGAATACCACCGGGGAGAACGGGAATACCGCTGGGGAGAACGGGAATACCCCCGGGAGGGTGGGAATACCACCGGGGAGAACGGGAATACCCCCGGAAGAACGGGAATACCCCCTGGGAGGATAAGAACATTCCTGGGAAGGACGGGAAGAGCCCTGGAAGGATGGGGAGAGCCCTGGGAAGGACGGGAATATTCCGGGGAAGGGTAGGAAGAGCCCTGGAAGGACGGACAGATCCCCCAGGAGGGACGGACAGACACATCCCCAGGACGGACGGACATCCCCAGGACGGACGGACACAGCCCTGGGCAGACCCCTCCGGGCTCGCCCCTCGCTGGCCCCGTCCTGTCCCCGCCGTCACACCCTGCACACGGCCGGCCCCGAGCGTGTCCCCACGGATGTCCCCAGGGATGTCCCCAGGGATGTCCCCGAGATGTCCCCAGGATGTCCCCAGGGGTGTCCGTGGCTGCGGCACAGCCAGGGGACCCTCAGTGCCACCACGGCCTGGCCACTGTCACTGCACGACCCCCCCGGTGTCCCCTCAGTCCCATCCCCACCCACGTTCCCTCGGGAAGCGCAGGGGAGGCTGAGGGGGGATCGAGGGGCCTTTCCCACCAAAAATTCCCGGGGACCCCCGGGATGGGGCTGGGGGCGTCACGCCGGACTTCGGGGGGAGGGTCCAAAGCTGGGGACGCCCCCTCCCCCAAAACCACCAGCACCTTTATCCCGACCCCCGGCACCCACGAGGTGCCCCAGCGTTGCCCCCGGTGCCCC